TCTTGAACCATTTGAAGATGATCCTTGACAAACCTTGAAGAATATGGGAGGGAAAATTTTGGGGTACAACAGTAAGCTCTCCCATTAGTGATATTTTGAAACTCACCCTGCATCAAACTCACAAATTCCTTCTAAAGATATTCATCAATAGTAGATCCAAATATAATATCATCAACATAAATTTGAACTAAAAGAATATGTTTTGCTTTACGACTAATAAACAAAATAGTATCTACTTTATTGTGACTAAATCCTTGTTTTATTAAAAATCCACTAAGACTCTCATACCAAACTTGAGGAGATCATTTGAGAGCATATAGAGCTATTTTAGGTTTAAAAACATAATAAGGATTTTCATGATCCTCAAAACCAAGAAGTAGGCAAATGCCAAAAGTTGATTTAACATACATTTGATACAACTTGAAATTCAAGAAGTGGACAAATGCCAAAATGAGTTGTATTGATTTAAGACGTGCTACAGGAGCCTAAATTCCTCATAGTCAATTCCCTCACCCTTATTATACATTTTAGCCACTATCATAAGTTTATTTCTAATAATTATGTCATTTTCATCAACTTTGTTCCTAAACGCCCATCTAGTGTTAATGTTAGTTTTATCTTTAGGATGTAGAACAAGGCCCAAACGTTATTCCGTTTAAATTGAATTAGTTCATCATGTATAACAAGAAGCCGTATGTTGTACCCCAAAATTTTCCATCCCATATTTCTTCAAGACATGCTCACAGAGGTCTCAAGTACTCAAGAATCTCAAGAGTTGACTAGTCAAACCCCCTCATAAGCATGGAGTCTGCAACTAGGGTTTTGAGTCCCTCAAGGAAATTTGGTTTGAAAAGGTCTCAAATGTTTTTCATTTTTCATCATAGGTCCTCAATAGTTATCATGTCAAGTTTCAATTATTGCATCACAAGTTTGCTCAGTCAATGGCTTAGATGATTGAAAATCAATTGTATTGGGTAAAAAGTCAACTATGGTCAACATACAGTCAAACTTCAATATTTTTTGTCAACGTAAATATTTTAAAGTGATATTCATCATTCGATCAAGGGATGATAGTGATTCCTCAAGGAAAGCCCTCAAATCATCAAAGGTCACAAATTGCCAAATTAGAGTTTCCTTAGGAAAAGTCAATCAAACTTTGACCAAGCATAACTTTCACATTATTCATCAACTTATCCCCAACCAAATCCCATTTTAAAGGGAATTCAATTCTCTACAACTTTTCATTTACTCTCAAATACAAAAAGTGCATCATTTGAAAGATATGAGCTAATACATTACAGGTCATTTTCAAAAGTCGACAAAAGACACTTTTTGTCAAGGCAACTTACATCAAGATAAATTCTTAAAATGCAAAAATGATCAAAATAGAAGTTGTAGAGGACATCTTTAGATTTTCAAAAAGTCTAAGATCACCTTCAAAAGATGGAAATTGAGAGAATTATGATTGATGCAAGTTGGACAATTTTTGAAGAATGCATGAAACTTCAATTGGACCATGTTGAATTTTTGGGCTTTTGGGCCTAAGTTTAAGAGTTCAAACATGCTCATGACACCTTATAAGACCTCTAATTACATTCATGCATTATTATAATTTTTTATTTCATTTATTTATTTTTATTTAAATAAATTCAAAATAAATCAAATAAATATTATATAATGTGACTTAGGTGCATGGATCCTTGTTTGAATCAGAATAAAGGCCCAAGGATCATACCAAAACCGTGTCATCTATTTTTGGAAGAAATCTCTATGGTTTTAGCAAGTTTTCAAAGTTATTTTGGAATAAAATAAAGTTTTGATTATACATGATTCCTTCCATATATGTTGACCTAAATACCATCCTCTATATATGTTCAACACATTCAGATCACAAGGACAAGAAAAAACACAGTCAGCTGCCTCCCAAAGACACTGATTGTTCACAAAATTATCAAAGAAATCCAAGTAAATTGTATCTCACATTCCCAACAATTTCAATCCAAACTAAGCTCTGAAACCATCTCCTAAACATCCATATGGTAAGTAAGGGTAAGTTTCAATGATTTCCCAGGCCTGAATCGTATTATCCATCATCTCTATTTGCATTTTCTTATCATTCATATTTTTCAAATTCACGTGTTGTTGTTTGTTTTTAACCATATGGATCCTCATATATGAATGTTTAGAACAGGTATGGACCAAAAAATGGAAGCTCTAACATGAGAATGGTGTTTTACCATAGCTAGGGAAAAACGCTTATGTACCTTCGTATCTATACTTCCAAGCCATTACAGGAAAAACCGATAGCACCATTAGACTCGCAGCATATAATTTAGGGGGTTAGGATTAATTTGAGGCTTTGATGTTTGTTCTTTCGCAAGTTTAAATTTTGGACCAACTTGAGAAGAAAGAATTGATCACCGTGAGGGATGGTCTGACTCGCCTGAAAACTCGCGTGGCAGATAGGTTTATTTTGATTCGCTGGTTCAAAATGACAAGGATCCACCGCGCAAGCGTTTGATTGTTTGGCTAATATTAGTTTCCATTTTAAAATATAATGTTTGGATTTGACTTACTTACGGAATGTAGTGGCCTCCCCAATGGCAAGTGTTTGTGTGTGTGTGTGTGTGTGTTAAGGTGTTAGTGTTCCTGGGCAGGGGTTCGATCTTTGCCCCTGACATGTCATGTTTCCAATTTTTTCTTGCAGATCCCATACAAGCAGGTCCAACGCGCGCATCGTGTACCTCATCTAACAACCATCAGATCTCAGGATTCCATATCTAAACACCTCAAATGCACACTCCATCGTGAACCTTCAGGGAGCCACCTTTACTGGATCCAACGCAGTTTTGGGCCTTGTCCGGTTTGGGCTTAGCAAATTGTTTTTCTCACCCCCCAATTTTTCTTTTCAACAGACCCATTCTTTTTTCTTTGTTTTAGTTAATTATTTTTTTTAATCAATTTCAATTTTATTTAATCAACAAAAATCATTAAAAAATTAGACTTAGGTTTTTGATTAAATAATTTAATTTTTGATAAATAAAATTAATTTAATTTAATCATACTTTGTTTAATTTTATTAATTAACTTGTAAATTAATTAGAATTAGGTTTAATTATTATTTTTTTTCTAAACAAAAACACCAAAAATATTTCTTAAACGCTTAAATTTTTTTTAGGGTTTTTAACACCTTTCCCTTTTCAATCTCTGCGCGCCTATTTATTTTTCGCATTATTATAAATATTGTAGCTGCTAATGGTCTGTAATAGCTTTAAACTAGGATTTCTTTACTTTCCCCCCCCCCCCCCCCCCCCCCATTTTTTTTGGTTTGTAACTCCCCATCCTCAAAGCACTATAATAGCTTAGATTATATTTTCCGTATTTTTACTTTCTGCACTTATATATATATATATATATATATATATATATATATATATATATATATATATATATATATATATATATATATATATATATATATATATATATATATATATATATATATGACTGCTAGTTTGTTAGGGTTGTATGACAAAGACCAAAAGCAAACGTTAGATAACCATAAATTCAAGATTAAAATAACTGAAACATAACACACTTCGCACACGCGCACCTCTCACTTATTGTCTCGAATGATAAACAGTCATGTCCCTCGAACGTGGGATACTTTAGAAAAGACCATTCGGTTAAAAATATCGTAGTCCCTCGATGAACCTTCGATGTTGTCTCAGTAAATGATATTAGTCCCTTACGACAATTGTTAAAGCGTCATACGAGTTGTCTTCATGATTGTACGATGACTCACGCCTGTCCCTCAAATATCTAATGATAGGGCTTCCTACTAAGTAATGGTAGGATAACACTATCTAAAGAAAAGGAGAAAAAGAACAAAGACTTTTTGAGTAGGTAGATAGCTCGTAGTCGCTTGCTCACAAACAAAAAATATTTCTCACACATACACTCTTTTCTAAAATATTTTCAAAAACAAACACTCTGTATGTGTTCTCAACTGATATGAGAGTCATTACAAAGTTTGCCGAACTTAGGCATTTTCAAAATATTTTTCAAACACATACACAAAAGCAAATTTTCAAACAAAGTGAGCTAGCGATTAAGAGCTCATAGATAACTACAGATGAAAGGGTGCTAATACCTTCCCTTTTCATAACTTATCCCCCTTACTCAGAAAAATCTCAAAAGGTTTTTCCTGTTCTTTTCACCCTTTCATTTATTGGATAAAAGATTAAAAGAAAAGTCGATGACGACTTTTGCTATCCACAATATTTACAATAAAACGTAAAACATAAAAGTCAATTCTCTCACCGTATTACACCATCCCTCATAAAGTAAAACATCATATATAACTTTAGATTTAATTTGAGAGATGAAAGCAGAATACATACAAAAATTGTTAACATGAAATCTTTCACTTACACTTTTTCTCTTATTGTCAACTATTTGATCCAACTAATGATCTTTCACAACATTCTAAAAATGATAAAATATAAAATAGAAACATCCAAAAATAATAATGTAAATTACATTAAATAATATTGACTAATAAAATTTGAAATAAAATCCAAAAAGAAAACCTATAAAACAAGAAACATTTTGCTGAATAATTAGATTTTCTTACCTTTATAAGACTCTTTCTCATTTAGGGTTCGTTATATTTCTAACGTTCAAATGATTACAAAAAAATAAAGGAAAAATATATAAAGTTTAGATACTCTTCTTCATTACACACCACCGTAATATTCTCATGATTCTATTCTATATTATACTATATAGTATATTATACAGATTTTCCTTCGTTATACTACAAAATCTTTTATTTTTAGTGAGTATTTTCTTATACTTGTTTTAGATTATATTCTATGATTCTCTATTTATTTTTAGTCGTTTGTCTAAATTTTCATGAAAATCATATATATGTATATTTATCTGAACATTGGATATTTATTAATGTCAATATCATCAGAAACAATCTAATAATAAATATGAACATGTGTAGAAAATGTGTTGGTTCTAGGGTTTGTGAGTGTGGTGGACATAACGGTAATGGTGTTACAAATTGGAGTGCTGGTTCGAGGAAACAGCAAAAACAAAAACAACCTAAAATTCTGAAAAGGGGTCCCGGTGTTGCTGAACTTGAGAAGATCTTGAGAGAACAAGAGACGACAAGTGATTTACCAGCAACACAAAGAGGAGACAATGGAGGGTTTTCGATTTCGTTGTCATGGCCGTGTCCGAATTCGAGTACTTTGAATTCTCATGTACCATCATTTTCTCCAGCCATTGGATCTATGTATGGAAACAGTGCTACATGGGAGCCTAAATCAAATCTCAACGAAGTTGTTGATGGAAGTCAATCTGATGATTCAGCTATGGTGAACTTTTACTAAATAGTTTGTTATTTAATCACTAAAGAAATGTTTAAATATGACCGAAATTATCTGATGCAGATGGTTTTGAATCACACTATAATTGCGGTTTGACAATGGTGTGATTCAAAGTTTTTTAACACTTTGGATGTTACACAGATTTTAAGTTAGAATAAAATATTATTTTAAAAAAAGAAAGACTAAAATGTATACCTAACTTAGTGTGGGGTTTTTTTTTTGTGTTGTTCTAATGCTTCTCTTTACTAAATCATTCTTATTATTTTAACATACCGTTTTAATTAATGTGTTTATGTACATGAAGTTTTAATGGCTATTCTACGTAATTTTAGATGCAGATAAATCAGTTTCATGGGAATTTCATGCCACAGGATGAACAAAAGGTACACATGTTTCTTCCATTTGATGTTTCTATTAAACATAAGCAATATATAATATGTTGGTAGCTTGCTATGTGTCTTACACAATCAAAAATTTAATTGATGATGGTAACATGGTATTCTATAAATATTTATATAGAGATAATTAGAGTTTTTCTATTTTTTAATATGGTTGTATACTGTAAATATTTATTTATATAAAAATAATATAAAAAACATCTAAGATATAAATAATGCATCGTTATCTTTTTATATAAGGTTGCTGACAACAACTAAACTATTATTTTTTTGCAAGAATATATGTTATAACGCTATATATGTAGGTAACGAGATAAACAAAAAAAAAATTATGTAAGAATATATGTTAATTTGGATTTGTTTGGCAAATGGTGGAGAAAATTCAGCTTAGATGCTAATATGAGACTTAAGTGATATCCTCTTTCAAGAGGGGTAGGTCTTCTGGTTTTCAAGTGTCTTCTACTTGGTGGAAGAAGTCTCTCTTCATTGCTTTGGTCTATGCCCTCTTTCGGTTGGTTTGTAGATAGTCTGGTTAGGAAGGAAAGACCTTTTTTTGTGGGAACAAGTGTTATGCTGATAACCTACTTCTAGTTATTCAGGGAACTAGCCTTTTTATGATTCTATACAATGGCAAGATTCCAACTATATATATATATATATATATATATATATATATATATATATATATATATATATATATATATATATATATATATATATATATATATATATATATATATATATAATGGCAAGATTCTATACTATATCTATTTATATAGCAAATTTAATCGATATGGGGAAGATACTATACTATAAATATTTATATGGAAATCATATATCAATATTTAGTCATGAAATAATAATATCGTTATCTTTATATGAAATATCTGTTAGAGAAAAAGGAGCAAATTTTTATAACATGTTGTTTTATAAAATATAATTTTGGTCTTTATATAGACCCAAAAACTTCTACTATTTTAAGAAAGTAAATGTTATTAATAAATTCTATTATAACCCACTATCTCTTGACCTTCTAATTATATTTGATTCTTAATCTTCTCACTATCTTATTAATAAAAAATCCACTAATGACATTTAAAGTTTATTCAACAAGACTCCTATGTAAACTTAAATGTTCCTTCCATCCATCATGCTAATCAATTTCTTGTCTCTGTCGAAAATTTCATTCGACAATGGTTTTGTAAAAATATTTGTTGTTTGATCTTTGCTTGCTACATGCCTCAATTCGACACTTCCTTCCTTCACATGTTCTCGAATGAAGTGGAATCGAATGTCAATGTGTTTGCTTCTTTCATGGTTTACTGGATTCTTTGCCAACTCGATTACTGATTTGTTGTCCACTTGCATTACTGTTGCACCTTCCTGTTTTAGCTCCATCTTGCTCATCGCTCTTCTAAGCCATACTGCATGACAAACGCACCAAGATGCTGCCACATATTCAGCTTCACACGTAGAAAGTGTTATTATCGGTTGCTTCTTAGAAAGCCAAGTAAATGTTGTGTTTCCCATGAAGAACACGTATTCAGAAGTGCTTTTCCGATCGTCTATATCTCCACACCAATCACTGTCAGAGTAACCAACTAACTTGTAATCTTCTGTTCTTGAATAGAACATTTCAAATGACATTGTTCCTTGGATGTACCTTAGGATTCGTTTCAATGCCTTCCAATGTGAATGCACTGGCTCCTCCATGAATCGACTTACAATGCCAACACTTAATGAAATGTATGGCCTTGTGCATGTGAGATAGTGAAGACTAGCTACCAAGCTTCGATATTTTCTCACTTCGACACGTTCTCCTCCATCAAACTTCGACAATTTTGCGCCTGGTTCCATTGACGTCGAAGTTGGATTACAAATTTTCATCTTATATTTTTCCAAGATTTATTTTGCATATTTTTTCCTGTGAAATAAAGATTCCAGTTTCTTCTTGTCGAACCTTCAGACCAAGAAAGAATCTCATCAGACCTAAGTCTGTCATTTCGAATCTTCGTGTCATGGTGCTCTTGAATTCTTCTATCATCTGAATATCACTGCCTAGAAAAATAAGGTCATCAACATAGAGAGCAACAAGTAATATATTACTTCCATTTTTCTTCACATAGAGGGCATGTTCAAACAGACATTGTTCGAACCCATTCTCCTTGAAATATGTGTCTATGCGTGTGTTCCATGCCCGTGGTGCCTGCTTCAGCCCATAACGCTTCCTTCACGTTCAGCACTTTCTTCTCTTCTTCAATCCTCATATACCCAAGTGGTTGTTCGAGGTATATTTCTTCTTCGAGCACACCATTCAAAAATGTTGTCTTGACATCCATTTGAAATATTGGCCACATGAATTGAGCAGCTTGAGAAATGAGCAATCGAATTGTCTCCATTCTTGCAACTTGTGCAAACACTTCTTCATAATCAATTCCTGCTTTCTGTTTGTATCCCTTTGCAACAAGTCGCGCTTTGTATCGTTATATTTCTCCTTGAGCGTTCATCTTTTTATTGAATACCCACTTTACACCAATAGTTTGATTACCTTTTGGCAATTCGACTAGCTCCTAGGTGTTGTTGCGGTCTATTGCTCTAATCTCTTCGTCCATGGCACTTTTCCACTTCTTGTCTCGTAACGCTTCTTCGACACTGATGTTTTCAGCATCTTCCAGAAAGCACACAAGGTGTACCTCATTTGTCGAATCATATGTCTTGCAAACTTCTCATTTTGGGTTGTAGAGGTTCATCTTCATTTTCAGTATCTTCATGTTCTGTTGAAATGCTTGTTGGTACATCTATAAATGATTTTTCGACTTTGTCTATAACTTTTATCGAATTATTCCAGTCCCACTTGCTCGCTTCTTTTATTCGAACGTCTCTACTCACAATCACTTTCTTTCTTATGGGGTCGAATAGCTTATACCCTTTTGTCTTCTCATCATATCCAATGAATATATACTTTTGACTTTTGTCTTCAAGTTTTGTTCTTCGTTGATCTGGTACATGTGCATAAGCTACACTACCAAATACTTTGAGATGAGAAATTGTTGGCTTCTGTCCTTTCCATGCTTCTTGTGGTGTTTGCTTCCTAACTTCGAATGTGGACATCGATTCTGAACATAAACAACACATTCTACAGCTTCTGCCCAGAATTCTTTTGACGTGTTCTTGCTCTTAAGCATTGATCGAATCATGTCAAGAATAGTTTGATTCTTTCTTTCAGCCACACCATTTTGCTGAGGTGAATTTGTTGCAGTTATGAATCTCCTTATGCCCTGCTCTTCACAATACTTCATAAAGGCTGTCGAAGTGTACTCACCACCTCTGTCAAATCGAACTGCTTTGATATGTCTGTCGGTTGCCTTCTGCACCATTACTTTGAACCTTTTGAACACCTCTAATGCTTCTGACTTTTCTTTCAAGAAATAAACCCAGGTCTTTCGTGAGAAATCATCGATAAAATAAATGAAGTACATTTTCCACTGAAGGATTCTGGAGTGATTGACCCACATAAGTTAGTATGAACCAATTCGAGAATTTGTTTAGCTTGATATTCTGCCTTCTTTTGAAATGAGGCTCTTGTTTGTTTGCTGAGCACACATTCTTCACAAAACGTTCCTTCATAATCCATGTCTAGTAGTCCATGCACCATGTTCTTTTTCGCCAACCTTCTCAAACCAGCATGATGTAGATGACCAAAGCGCATATGTCATAGTGACGCTTTGTCTTGCATTTCGACTTGTAGACATTTCTCTCGAATGTTCCTCAGATTCAGCTTGTACATTCGATTTATTTTCATTTCGACACAGGAAATCAGATGTCCTTCTTTGTCCTTCAAATGCAGTATTCGATCTTTTATAAGTATCGAAAAGCCTTTTTCTGTAAGTTGTCCCAAACTCAAGATGTTGGTCTTGAGATCTGGTACATAGTAAACATCTTGGATTGATCTAGTCAAGCCATCCTTCTGTAAGTAACGGATTGTGCCCTTCTCTTCAACCTTCACTTTTGATGCATCTCCAAAAGACACATTACTATCTTCAATTTTTTACATTTCTTTAAACAGGTGTTTGTAACCACACGTGTGATTACTTACTCCTGGGTCAAGATACCAAACATGGTCATTATTAGTGTTGATTTCGTTTTGAGCCATCAGGAGAAATCCTTCATTAGCTTCAGTTTCCAAGGCTAGATTGGTTGTTTCTTCTACCTTCTTTTCAATTAGACCATCCTTTACAAGATTTCCACTTTATCACAGTTATAGAATTTGTAGGAATTGCAATCCTTCGCGTAATGACCATAGTTCCCACACTTTTAGCATTCGAAGTTGGAGTGGTTCGATCGGCCACCTCTTTGACCACGTCCTCTACCACGCCAATTTTGTTGGTTCGAATGTCCTCTCTCGAAGTTGCTCCCTCGACCACTGTCACGACCTCCACGGCCACGTCCTCTTCCTCGAAAGTTTTTAGAAAAGAATACCTTTTCGTCTTTGTTCGAATCCTTGGTTTTGTTTTCTTCTTCGACTGCTTCTTCCTTCTTCTTCATCTTACGTTGTTCATGTGCTTCGAGAGAACCAGTGAGCTCTTCGACTGAGAGCGTCGAAAGGTCCTTCGATTCTTCTATTGCACACATAATATTCTCAAATTTATCTATTAAAGATCTCAAGATCTTTTCAACAACTCATGCATCAGTTACTGCTTCGCCATTTCTGGTGAGTTGGTTCACCACCTTTTGTACACGTGTGATGTAGTCAGGTACAGTTTCTGTCTCTTTCATCTGCATCCTCTCCAATTTGCCACGTAGAGTTTGGAGTCAAACTTGCTTCACCTGGTCTGCTCCTTTGAACACTTTCTGTAACGTGTCCCATGCTTCTTTCGACATAGTCGAACCAACAATCTTTTCGAAGTCTGATTCGTCAACAACCCTGAACAACATGTATAGTGCTATTTTATCCTTCGACCGCGTCTCTTTCAACGCCTTAGTTTGAGCTGTCATATGTCCTGCAACATCTGTTGGTTCTTCAAACCCATCTCGGGTCACCTCCCACGCGTATAGAGATCCAGGAAGAGTTTTCATTTGAATACTCCAATTTTCGTAATTTAACTTTGTTAGCCGTGGCAACGGCATTTGATTCATCATGTTTGTCATTAGCTCTGATGTCAATTTTTTAGAGAAAAAGGAGCAAACTTTTATAACTTGTTGTTTTATAAAATACGATCTTAGTCTTTATATAGACCCAAAGACTTCTATTATTCTAAGAAAGTAAATGTTATTAATAAATACTATTATAACCCACAATCTCTTGACCTTCCAATTACATTTGATTCTTAACCTTCTCACTATCTTATTAATAAAAAATTCACTAATAATATTTAAAATTTATTCAACAATATCATTAAATAACAAATTATATAATATTATTTCTATCAAGATACAATTCAATACTGTTTATATTCAAATTTTGTGTTTACAATTTAATATTGTTTATATTTGTCATAGATAGTTGTTGGCATAACGCAAACTGATACTTCATCTTTGGCCAAATCTCTTACTCCACAGTTCAATGAAAGTGATGGTGTTAGTAGCTACAATCATACCAACGAGTGTTACAGGTAATAATGTCTTAATTATAAATTACAAAAAAAATTTATCACTAGCTTTTTCTTTAATATCTTTTTTCCATTCAAAGAAACTGAAGTTGTTAGTACCATTTTTCATACTAAATTTTCTTCGTGTCTTATTCGGTGATGAAAAATGGGGCAGCACTTTTGAGCTCAATAACCAAAGGTTCAATTCTGAAAATGATGGCTCTGGTGATGCAAATTTTCTACAATATGTTGTTTCTGAAATTCCTCCACCACCTATGCCTTCGTCTCCAAGTGTTCATTCTGTTGTACATGATGGTAAACCTTTCTTTAACTTCTTAGAAGTGAAGGCTCAAGAAGGGGTGACAGATGCAACAAGTGGATCAAGTAATGATGGCATTGATCTTACGTTAAAGCTTTGAGTTCGAAATTTCGCACAAGAACTATAATTTAAAACAATGCTTTGGTTTATTTCATTGTAATATTTCACCTTCGTTTTCTTCTTTCTCTTGGCCAAATAAACTCCTTAACTCATGTGTATGACCAAGTTTTACAAATTTATCAACATAATATATGAATTGTTTTACCTTAATAAAATCAATGGATGTGACAAGATGATCTTGTAGTTTTGGCTCATGTCGCTTCCACCACGGAGATTGTAGAGTATAATGCGATTGTTGATTTTCTTGAAGAGTTGATCTAAAGCGTTAGAGTAAAGAAGTCTTTGATCGCAATGTTTTGAGTATGGAGTTGATCTTGAAAAATATTGGGTTAGTTGATCTGAAAGCAAAGAAGGGCCCCTTTCAGGATAAAGATGTTGTCTCTAGGAGTGGGGACTTTGCTGATCTTTTGTTCATTCTTATAGTTTCAAGCATTTCCCTTTTCCCTAAGGTCTAAGGCTATATGGCTTAGCAAAGGGATGTGTACTATGGTTACTTTCATACCTTTTTGAGAAAAATAGGAGATGAAGGCTATTTCTCCAAAAATTATTCTCGAGAGTATCCAATAAATTTGAGAGTTTTTAGTAGGTATAATTCAAGAGCTCTCTTATACAAGAAAAATGAAGTTTATGACTAACTTCCAATCAAACAATAAATTGAGTAGTGAAGCGGTGACTGTCATATCCCAAAATTGCCCTACTGATATTACTAACCAATTTGTTCTTTTTTGTTACTAATCTTGGTGTTATTATATTATTTGGTTAAAATTATAATTGATTTATATTCACATTACACTAGTTGTTATTGTAAATGCTGATTAGTTTTATGTTTAAATTTTACTTCTAGATATAAAGGGGTTCAAGTATTAGGAGGGGTGTATCTTGTAATAAGGGCTCCGGACTACTTTTTAGAATCAAAACGGTCTATTTGGTTTTGAGGCCCATGAAGATCTTGTTGGGGGTTGACCAGAGTCAACTTTCTGACTTTTATTATTCAATTATTATTATTATTCCATTATTATTATTGATTATACTATTACTATATTATGATGTTATTATCAATACTGCAAATTGAGAATATTATTATTAATATTAGTTATTAGTATTATTGTTAATATTCTAATTAATTTTTGTTGAGTTTTGTTTGACTGAGGTCAACCGTGGGTTAGGAAACCCTAATTAACAGTGACTGTTGATATTCTTCTTCTTCACTAAGCAACTTTTAAAGCCTAAGTCAGAAAACAAATTTGAATCAAATCTTCGAAACAAATCAATTGAAATATCTTTATTGATGATGATTGATAAGAATGTACAAGTAAAATCGTCCAGATACGTTGATGAATGCAAAAACCCTAAGAGTACAATTTCTAATTGCAATCTCAAATCAAATCTTCTAAAAAATTCCAAAACCAGAATCTAATCAAATCCTAAGATTAATTCTGAATGAATCAATGACTACAAAATTTCCTAATTTGAATTTGTAACCGAAAGTCCTAAAACTTGTAAATTCTAAAGACCTAAGACAGAAAAGAGACGAAAAAATATGGGGAAAATCCATTTGTCTTGTTGTGTATCCCTCACCTTCACCAGAGTTCACTACATCTAAATATTTAGGATTTCACAACTGAAACCCTAAATCTTCGAGCTTGACTCCTTCGTGCCTGCAAAGTAGAAAAAAGAAAGGAGATCAGAAAAAGACAAGAGGAATCAATTTGCGAAAAGTTTCACGGCAAGGAGGTAGGCCACTTAGCTTTATATTTTGTTGCGATTGATGTTGTTGTGAGGTTATATTTGATTGAAGTTTATTTGAGATCTAAGAGAAACTTAGGGTTAGGGTTTAGACGATTTGGTATTCTGGGATTCTGGGTTTTTTTATAGGTTGAGGAAGAAATTTCCTGTTGATATTCAACCAGAAAACGCCAGTCCGCAGCGGTTGGTGTGGTTGTATATGGGGGTGGGTTAGAGAGAATACGTGAGGCTGAAGATAAGGGAGAGCGGATGATAAGAGTTAGAAAGAGAAAGAAACAAGGAAAATGATTTTGTTGTGTTAAAATGAAAACATATACTCTCTCCATGATGTCGCCAGATCGCAACATGTGCCATTAACATGCCGCGCGATTGGGTTGCTGAACAACAATCCCATGTAATGCGCTTCAGATACACCCTCAGTCAGACTTCCATCCAGCCCTGCATTCATCTTACTTTTAATCAATGCTCCAGAGCTAGCCTCTTGTGGCCCTTTGGTTGAAATAAAATGTTTCAAATCCAGTCGTCACACCATAATACCATGTGCCTCCCCCACACGACTCCAAGTAAACCCAAATTTATTTTGGGCTGAAGCCCTTTCTGTTTGCACACCCGTTTTACTTAGTTGAATTATTTCAACTAAGTTTACACCCCCAACCTTATTGGATTCAAGTAAAATTCTGGGCTCAAGCCCTTCCTATTTACACACCTAGAATTACTAATCCTAAATAGAATACACCCCCTGCGTAAATTAATTAAATATTTTTCTTTTTCTTTAATTTTTTAATTTTGTTTTTATATTTATAATTACTAATTTATTTCTCATAATCATTTTATCATTTTATGCATTAAATTTTTTTTTCATATAAATTATTTTAATGAATAAATATTGGAGTAGTATTAAAAATATTTAATATACTTTTAATAATATGAAAATAGTTATTTGTTAACTATTTTTTAAACATTAACCCTATTTTCTAAATATTTTTTTATCATTCAAAACATTTTTAATCATGCACCTAAGACATCTAACCAATCAAAAATATTGACTTTTTTCTACTAACTTAATTTCAATTTCAATATTATTTTCAAAAAAGAGGATTGTGAATCTATTTTTTATTAACTGCGAATTGCGTCTACGACTACGCTACTTTCAAACTCAGACAAGGTTTAAGGAGAATTCAAAAATATTTCCACAATCCATAAAAAAAACTAACCAAACACTTAGGAACTACGAATTGGAACTCTGGTTCCTCATAGAAGGATACGTAGGTACGCAGCTTAAAAACCAAGGCGAGTCCCCTAATTAAAAACTAAAATATTTTTTCCAAAATATGCAATAATATAACATTAACTACTAAATTCTTGATCTACCCTTAGACCTAAAAATGGAGCCCCTTGAGAACAAGGGAGATGAAGGGTGCCTAACACCTTCCCTTCGTCTAACCGACTCGCGAATTTAGAATCTCTGAAACAATTAGGGTTATTCGTCACTTTCCCGTCCTTAGGACACAAAATTAATGGTGGCAACTCTTTATTTTTTGTCGGTTACGACAGCTGGTAACTCTTCTGGGGATACAACCCTAGGGTTTAGAGTTTTTCCTCTTTTAGGTCTAGGGTTTTGCTAGGATTTCTTTCTGTTTTTGGTGTTTTTTGTTTCTATATTCGTTTTTTATATTCTGTTTATTTATATTTTGTTATCATATTATTTTATTGTGGTGGGATTTAATTTCAAAAAAGTATCAAACCTTAGAAAGAATGATTGTCAATTGGCAAAGGGGGTTTAACATCTGTATGAGTTTTTACGACAACTTCGCCTAGAGTTGGTGGAATTCCTAAAAAGAAATATCTCTTAAGGGGCTAGACTATTTGGGGGATAGGAATTTGGAATGAAACCTATGACTCTTTGTATAACCCAAAAACAAAATCTCATGGAGAGACCTTGTGCAACCTAAGAGACGAAAGTTTTGGTTTACAATGAGGCTCTGCCTAAGGGAGGCCCTTCTGCCTTTACCCTTTGGTGTTATCCATGATACCCTTAAGGAAATCACCTTTTAGCAGGGTAGAATATATGTAGCCCGAAACTAGGAACCTACCAACTAAGGATATCTTTCACAAAATCCTGCTACTATGTTACATCACCATGCATACATGCATCTCACATTTCAAAATATTCATTATTTTAGCTTTTTTTTATTGTCTTATTCACAGGATTTCTGAAGAAAAAAATAATCAAAGGTTTTTGGTGAGTATCATAAAAATGGATATCAATAAAAAATAAGTTGTCGGTGTTAGCACCGCAAGCCAGATATGAAGAAAATAAAAATCATTAAGGAGAAACTACCTGAAAAAGCTATGAAGATATTTATTCACCGCTATGGGGTTACCCTTGCGATAACTAAAATAAATGTACAAATGGATGCTATCACTGCCATAGTTCAGTTCTATGATCCTCTGCGAAGGTGTTTTACTTTTCAAAATTTTCAACTAGCACCAACTTTGGAAGAATTTGATAGGTTCTTGAACTTTTCTAAAATTAAGGTTTATGTTGAGATTGTGTAAGAACAAGATTTGGTTATGCAATATTATCTCTGAGTTTTGATGATAACAAATGGGTATGTTTGTGTGATCATTTTTTTTGTACTAATGTTTGTTATTGGTGAGTACTTAATAAATAGGTTATGCTTTTGATGGATGGCGTGGCCAAAAAATTAGAACAGAATTAGTTCCACTTCTGCGTTACACAAGTTTTGTTGAAAAGTAGCAAGACACTCCAGAAGGCTCTGAAGTGTAAGCTCTGATATTTGTCTAAAGAAACCATTCAGAAGATTTGAAGACAGAAGTTGCTACTTATGTCTAGATGCTGAAGACTCAACTTCTAAAGACAACATGTTCTAAAGAAACAGACAGAAGATCTGAAGACAGAAGTTGTCACTTAAGTCCACATGCTGAAGACTCATGTTTCTAAAAGACAGTGTGTTCTAAAGAAACAAAGTTATAAGATCTGAAGACAAAGTTTATACTAAAGTCCAGATGCTAATAACTTAGTTTCTAAAAGACAACTTGTTTCAAAGAAGACAAAGTTAAAAGATCTGAAGACAATGTTTCTAACTGAAGTCCAGATACTAAAGAATTTGTGTTTCTAATAACAAGGTTCTAAAGACAAGAATTCTTAAAGAAACAACTGCTAAAGATTATAAAGACAAAAGGTATGAATATTCCAAAGGCTTGAAGTTC